TCTTCCATTCATGAATAACTGACTATGTATTCTGAAAGAACATGCCCTATACTAGGGTCACATATTAATATACAAGTTTAGTGCAATGACCCTGATACTATGGAAAAGAACAGATGAAAAGATTATGTCTGAAATAAAACAGCTGATGAATAGAATTCTTTACCTAGAAGGTTGTGGGTCTAGGATGTTCCGCTGTAAAGGAATGAAAATGACTCAAAGGCCCCTGTGAACCTATGTGTTCAAGATGGCAGCACCTCTGTGAGTGTGTTACTCTGAGTGGAGGATGACTGATTTGCCCAGTTCTTCTGGTGTTCAGTGCTACTTTGTGTGCAATAAAGTACGTGATTTGAACCATTATTTACTTCAAAGTTGGCCTGTTATAGCAGTTTTCCTACCTTTATTGAAGCCCTTTCACAATGGCCTGTGAGGATTTATAATATGTTGATTGTGGGCCATTTTCTCCATCTTCTCTCCTCTCCCTAAAAGGCACTCATTGTATCTCTCCTAGACAATACAGCAGCCCTCTTTTGAACAATTTCCTCTCTGCCGCCTGTTCTAGCTTAAATGGTTAGCATGGTTAGCATGCTTTGAGAGTAAATCCACTTTGGTCTAGAGAACCAACATGGTAGCAGGGACTGCTGCGGTGAGAGGGAACCCCTCCAGTGGTAAGTGCCCATCTGGTACTCTTGTCCTTCAGACTCCCTCCACATTCTGCCTCTGCTTAGGTTAATTTTTATGAAGTCCGCAGAGTTGAGACCCAGCTTGACTAGATTACCTTCTCTCTATTTTAAGGACCTAGCTTTTTCTACAGGTGAGAAACAGACACTAAAAAAGATGGAGAGAATTTCAAGGAATCTTCTTCAAGCCACAGCTAAGCCTATGGCAAGAAAGACGTACTAAGGTGGCTTAGGATGTTTCAAGACTCAAGACAAAGTTCTGTGTTTCAGAATCAGATTCTCTCAGTAGACTGCTGCTTTTGAGATGTGTGTGTGTGTGTGTGTGTGTGTGTGTGTGTGTGTATGCTGAAGTATTTTCTTCTACATTTTTGTCTGTAAGTGATTCGGGATTTTAAAAATTTATTTATTTTGTTTCTTAGATATATGAAAGAGTTTTAACTCTCCTATTTCAATTTTCCCCCAAACAAAAATAGAATGATAAAGGGCACAATACCCAGGATCCAGTCCCTCCAGAATTTTTTGAATATAGAGATCTAACAACTCATGCTTTCATTCTGAAATGACTACCTTTTATGAATTGATTTTAGACTTGTAACTATCTTGGCAGGAGGGGAGGACACTTGTTCCCCACCCTTTGGATATCATATTAGACAATACACCCCAAGTAATAGCAGCTTACTCTGAAATCTTGTGGTAAAAGAAGAAAAAAAGAGTACAGGCCCCGAAGCTAGATAGGGCAGGACCTTGTCTTTCTGAAAGAGACTTCGAATGACTCTGATACTTTGCATAAAAGAATGGAATCAACACTTATGGATCAGTTAAGTGTAAGACCACATTCTGACTAGGAAGCGCTAGTTATACATACTTCTCATCTTCTACTTATTTATTATACAAGGTCTCATCTTGTAGCTCAGGCTGGCCTGGAATTCACAGAGATCAACCTACAAGTGCCTCGCAAGCAGTGGAATCAAAGGTGTGGGCCACCATGGCCAGATTTTTCTTCTTTTAAAGACTAAATCTTATATCAACATTCCAATGGTGGATTTGTGGAGTCACCAGATGTCTTTCTTTGTTCTTCCTCTCAGTGTGCTCACATTGAATGAATCTTTTTCTGCTCTTCATTATTATTTATTCGTTTTTTTCCATTTTATTATTTTATTCATTTACATTACTGTCATCCTGCCCCCTCAGTCCGCCTCCTTCAGTTTCTCATCCCATTCTTCCTCCCCCTTGCCTCCAAGGGGGTGCTTCCCCCGCCACCAGGTCTCCCCTTCCCCTGGGCCCTCAAGTCTCTAAAGAATTAGGTGCATCTTCTCCCACTGAGGCAAAACCAGGCAGACTTCTGCTATATTTGTGTCGGGGCCTCGGACCAGCCCGTGTATGCTTCTCGTTGGTGGCTCAGTCTCTGGGAGCTCCCAGGGTCTGGGTTAGTTAAGACTGCTGGTCTTCCTGTGGAGTTGCCCTCCCTTTCAGCTTCTTCAATCCTTCTCATAATTCAACCATAGGGGTCCCTGACTTCAGTTCAATGACTGGGTGCATCTGTCTCAGCTGCTAGTAGGGCTCTCAGGGGACAGTGATGCTAGACTCCTGTCTGTAAGCACATCCTAGCATCAATAACATTGTCAGGCCTTGGTGCCCTCCCATGAGATGGATCCCAAGTTGGGCTCCTCATTGGACCACCACTTTAGTCTCTTCTCCATTTTTGTTCCTGCAGTTCTTTTAGACAGGAACAGTTCTGGGTCAGAAATTTTGACTGTGGGATGGCAACCTCTTCCCTCCTCTTGAGGCCCTGTCCATCGACTGGAGGTGGACTCTTCAAGAGTTCCCTCTCTCCAGTGTTGGGCATTTTGGCTAAGGTCATCCGCATTGAGTCCTTAGAGTCTCTAACCTCCCTGGTCTCTGGTACATTCTAGAACCCCCCCCAACTCTGATGATACTTATCTCCATTCATTTTCTTGGCCCTCTGGGCTTTTCTCCTGTCCCCCCACCATACCTGATCCTGTTTCCTGTTTCCCCTTTCCCCTACCCCTTTCCTCTCCCACTCAGGTCTCTCCCTTCCTCTGCCTCCCATGATTATTTTCTTCCTCCTTCTAAGTGGAATTGAAGAATCCTCACTTGGACCTTTCTACTTGTTACCCTTCTTACAGTCTGTGGGTTGTGTCCTAGGTATTCTGTACTTTTTGACTAATATCCACTTATCAGTGAGTACATACAATGCATGTCCTTTTGGGTTTGAGTTACCTTACTCAGGATAATATTTTCTATCATTTGCTTGCAAAATTCATGGTGTCCTCATTTTTAATAGCTAAATAGTATTCCATTGTATAAATGAACCACATTTTCTGTATCCATTCTTTGATTGAGTGACATCTGTGTTATTTCCAGCTTCTGAGCTGTTACAAATAAAACTGCTATGAACATGGTGGAGCACACGTCCTTGTGGTATGGTGGAGCATCTTTTGGGTATATTTCCAAGAGTGGTATAGCTGAGTCTTCAGGTAGATCTATGCCCAATTTTCTGAGGAACCACCATATGGATTTCCAGAGTGATTGTATCAGCTTGCAATTCCACCAGCAATAGAGGAGTGTTCGACTTTTTCCACATCCTTGCCAGTATCTGCTGTCACCTGAGTGTTTGATGTTAGCCATTCTGATTGGGGTGAGGTGAAAGCTCCAGGTTGTTTTGATTTGCATTTCTCTGATGATTAAGGACTTTGAACATTTCTTTAAGTGCTTCTTAGCCATTTGAGATTCCCCTGTTGTGAATTCTCTGTTTAGTTCTGTACTCCATTTTTAAATTTGGTTATTTGGTGTTTTGGAGGTTAATTTCCTGAGTTCTTTACATACTTTGGATATTAGGCATCTATCAGAAGATTTTTTTTCTTAATCTGTAGGTTGCCAATTTGTCCTATTGATGGTGTCTTTTGCCTTATAGAAGCTTTTCAGCTTCATGGGGTTCCATTCATTGATTGTTGATTTTAGAGCCTGAGCCATTGGTGTTCTGTTCAGGAAACTTCCCCCTGTGCCAATGAATTGCAGGCTATTTGACACATTCTTTCTCAAGATATTTCATATTATTTGTGGCTATTGTGAAGGGTGTTGTTTCACTAGTTTCTTTCTCAGCCTGCTTATCATTTGTGTAAAAGAAGGCTACTGATTTATTTGAGTTAATTTTATATCTTGTCACTTTGCTGAAGTTGTTTATCAGGTGTAGGAGTTCTCTGATCGAATTTTGGGGTTGCTTATATATACTATCATATCATCTGCAAATAGCGACTTTTTCCTTCCCAATTTGTATCCCCTTGATCTTCTTTTGTTGTTTAATTGCTCTAGCTAGAACTTCGAGTACTATATTGAATAGATAGGGAGAGAATGGGCAGCCTTGTCTTGTTCTGGATTTTAGTGAGATTGCTTCTAGTTTCTCTCCATTTATTTTGATGTTGGCTGTTGGTTTGCTATATATTACTTTCACTATGTTTAGATATGTGCCACGAATTCCTGAACTCTTCAAGACTTTTAACATTAAGGGGTGTTGTACTTTGTCAAAGACTTTTTCAGCATCTAATGAGATGATCATGTGGCATTTTTCCTTGCATTTGTTTATATAGTGTGTTATGTTGATGGATTTTTGTATATTGAATCATCTCTGCGTCCCTGGGATGAAGCCTACTTGATTTTGGTGGATGATGGTTTTGATGTGTTCATGGATTTGGTTTTATTGAGTATTTCTGCATTGATATTCATAAGCAAGATTGGTCTGAAGTTCTCTTTCTTTGTTGGGTATTTGTGTGGTTTAGGTATTAGAGTAACTGTGGCTTCATAGAATGAATTATGTAGTGTTCCTTCTGTTTCTATTTTGTGGAATAGTTTGAGGAGTGTTAGTATTAGCTTTTCTTTGAAGATCTGGTAGAATTCTGCACTAAAACCATCTGGCCCTGTGCTTTTTTTGGTTGGGAGATTTTTGATGACTATTTTTTTATTTCCTTAGGGATTATAAGACTGTTTAGATAGTTTACCTGATCTTCATTTAATTTTGGTATGTGATATGTGTCTAGAAAACAATCCATTTTGTCTAGATTTTCCCATTTTGTAGAGTATAAGCTTTTGTAGTATGTTCTGATGATTTTTTTTGCATTTCCTCAGTTAAACTTGTCATCTCTCCCCTTTAATTTCTTATTTTGTTAATTTGGATACTTTCTCTCTGCCCTTTATTTAGTTTGGCTAAAGGTTTATCTATCTTGTTCATTTTCTCAGAGAATCAGCTCTTGGTTTTGTTGATTCTTTGTTTCATTCTCTTTGTTTCTACCTGGTTGATTTCAGCTCAAAAATATGAAATGCTTCACGAATTTGCATGTCATCCTTGCACAGGGGCCATGCTAATTTCCGTATTGTTTCAATTTTAGTATATGTGCTGTCAAAGCGAGCACTATTATTCATTCTTTAGTTGGCTTATTGAAGATGGGCAGCTGCCTCTAGCTTGCTAGGGTTGCTAAAACCCAAACTATGATCCTAACAATTCCAGTAACTAATAGGTGCTGAGGCCGGGTTAAAGGCAGATGCTGGGGCTCAGATAAATGAGCCCCTAAAGTATAGCAACTTGACATTCTGAATCCTTTAAATTGAAAAACATTTCATGCTCAGAAGGTCTCACTGATGTCATGCTCTCCTGTATTTTCTCCTCATTTCTTTCTTGAAAATATTCATAGATTCATTTCTCGTCCACAAAGAAAACCATAGAAACAAAACCATTTCTCCCCACTCCAAATAGCCATGAATCTGAACATTTTTATCTACCTTTTTTATGGCAGGAGCCATTCATAAGGAAATTCTCTAGGGTAGGTGTTGTGCCTCCGAATGGTAATTCCAGCACTTGAATGCTGAGGTAGCAGGATTGCTAGGAGTTCAAGGCCATAGTGAGTTAGAGACCAATATGGGTTACAGTGTATTCACCAACACCCTCCCAAAACATAAATCCTCTAGCATATCCTGTCTGCTCTCCAGTATTATCCTTGCTTCAGAAGGGTCTTGTCTAATAATATCTTGGAGGAAGATAAGCTAACCAGTGAGGCCAAGCAGATTCTGAAGAGACAAGCTATGCTGGGTTCCCTCATTAGGCCATTGCTACTACATTTTACTCTTTGTCTTGTTGCATACCTGTCTAGCTGCCCATATGTCATTAAACTTAGTTCTGTCGCTTAGGCATTAAAAATAGACAGTTTCCTGTGAACCTCATTTCTGAAGGCTCCTGTATCACAAGAAACCTTGATTAGGTGAACGTATTGTTTTCCTCTCGTCTACGTGACTTTTCTATATCAGAGTGTTGGCTGTGACCCTTATGATGAGTCCTTGACAAGAAGTATCACAAGGTCTTCCATTCACACACTAGAAACATGGAGACTAGCAGCAAGGGAAGAATCATGCAGCACAACTAGTACTCTGCTATAGAGATTAGCAAAGATTTCCTGTAGGGGATTCTACATCTAAGTGCGTCTAAGCTTCGTATAGCATTATTTCTGTCACAACAATTCAGCTCTGTTTTTTCAGTAAGAAAGCAGCTTTGGGCCACACCAACAGATGGACAAAGATGTAGCCAAATAAAACTTTACTCACCTAAACAAATGGCTGGCAAGGGTTGTGGCATTGTTTTGGAGGTTGATGTCCAGGATAGGACTAGGAGATGATCCTATGATCTCTAGCTAAGCAAATCTGGGTTTCATATAGCCTGTAACTCCATAAAACTGGATCACAAATAAGGCTCCTGTGGACTCCGTAAGGAAGAAGTAAAAGGCACTAGTGTGACCCCTTAGTGACATTCACAGGGAGATGAAGAGTCTAGGAACAAAATCTGTGGGTTCCCATAGCTTACAAACCTTAAAGACATGGCATGGGGTAGGGTGAGGTGAGAGGCATTCTAGTTAATCCATGATGATTTATATTTTCTTATGTCATTAGGAGAGTTCAACTCAAGGTGAGGTAATGGAACTACCATGACCCATTGACCTGGTTATGTCATCAAAAGAAGAGCTTTTGACCAGAAAAAGGTGAGGTTCCTTCATAGAGTTCCTTCATAGTGATTGACACATTACCCAGAAGCCTCTAGCTTGTTACAATTTTTATATAGGTTTAAATATACCAGTGACAATTATTTAATGCCATAGTTTGTATGTGTGTGTGTGTGTGTGTGTGTGTGTGTGTGTGTTATGATGTGGTGTGTACCTAAGTGTAGGTCAGCACCGTAAACAAATTTAACTCTTCATTCCCTTGGAAGCAAACCATAGCTTTGCCAGAGGATAGAGCAGTGAGCAACTCTTTGGCATACTTAGCTTAAATATTGTGATCATCAGCATGTATACATTAGCACAAAGGAGACTGTGACCTGGGAAAGCAGCCCACATCCAACATGGGAACGGCTGAACAGGAACTTGATGTCTCATGTCTTTAGATAAAATCTAAACTGCAAACATTTGCACATTGTTGCAGTGAGGAGAGGAGTTTGCATTCACTAAACAAAATAATACCTTGAATGTTGTCTACCTCTAAGGGTGGGATATGTATTTAGCAGAGGCAGACCTTTATTTAATTATCCCTGATGTAAAGATTTCTTGTCTTTTTCAGCTACATGGCTTTAAGAGACTGCTGGTACCTGAAGGCCAGCTCCTACTGGGACTAATTTCATCCAGACAGCTCCAAGCATGTTCATTAGGCACTGATTAGGTTTCACACAGGTGGAGAAGGTTAGGGGCACAGATAGAGAGGTGGTGCTGATTATGTTAAGCATAAAACACCATCTGTTTCCCAAGTAAGACAAGGGACTGAATCTACACTTCTGGAGGGACAGACACCAGGTCACTGCTGAAGCTGCTGCTCCCTGCATCTTTTTCTTTCATCTCCTTGCATTCACAAGTCTCAAAACAAATTGGTAAAAATGAAGAAAAACACCAGTATATCTAAAGGCCGCTGAAAAAGATCCTAAGTTCCTAACCATCCCATTCAGGCGTGCTGATCAGAATGAATGGGGAAGAATTGTTTTGTTTTGCTTTGTTTTCTCTCCATAATGCAAGCATTGTACTTGGCATGAAAATAGAATTACTACATTGATTCCCTTTCAGTATAAGGACTTTTTCCCTTCCATCGCAAATAGGCTTCCCAGTTAGCTGGACTCTTCAAAAACACTTTAATATTGTTTTGTTTGGAACCAAAGAATGCAAATGAGCTGATGTACAGATCCTCCTTTTCTAACAGAAAATAAACAGCCCAGAGACCTGTGCATGAGTAAATGTTTAGGGAAGGAAAGACAGCAGACGATGGAGTGAGCTGATTGGCACTTCAGCTCACCTGATAAGGGGGCTTCATATTTGTCTCTGGCACACATAGAGCCAGAGGCTCACAATGGTGCCTTCTTCACAGCCACTCTCCAAGAGCAAACCACCCTACCACCTGGCCTTTCCCTATTCACCACCCTCTTTCTTGCCAAAGAAAAGTTTCCCAGTCAGCAGGTGGTGAGGGTAGGGAAAGCAGTGTGGGGCACAGGGCTTGTGCCTCTCCTCTTCAGTCCATGACCTCTTTGGTTTAGAGCCCTAGAATTTTTATTATTAGAGAACAACAAAGCCAGCTGGAGGCCATCAGTATGACTTCCTCCTCCCAACCAGGCAAATGAAGGCACAACCAGCCTTCTCTCGGAGTCAAGTACAGCATGGCATTCTGGGATGATCACAGTAGGTTCTAGCTCTGTGGGTCCAACGTGAGGCAAGAAGCCTGGCTTTGGGTAAGGGAGAAAAGAGGAGCTATGTCCATCTTTGTAAAGTTTTGTGTAGCTCTGCTGTCTTCACCTTGCACTGAGGCCATCTGCCATGGGGGAAGGACAGCTGTCATACATGGAAAGGTCTAAAGTGCCCCGAAATTTGAAGGTTGGGCAAAAATAATGAGCCTCTCTATTTCAGTCCTACAGCTCAGTGATCCTGGCCACTACTGGATAGTGGGTATTTTATGCATATTTAAAGCATGACCTCATTAAAAATACTCCCTAAATTAGAAATCAGTTCTCTGGTTGGGAGACCTCACGGGCCACTCTTTGACAATCACTAACAATGTTACTTTAAATCTAGCACTCTGGGCCTTCCAAGATCCAACATATACTCTCCCTCAATCATCTGCTCTATTACCTGATCTCAGAGGAATCTAGATTTAGCAATTTGCTGAATACAGTCCAGCTCTGTCTTTTCCCCCATGCCATTGCTTCTGACTGCAATGTCTATTGTCATTACTATGGCTATTACTATGTCCCAAATGATTTTTTTAAAGATGACTTTCAAGCTCTCCCAAAATCTGCTAGACCATTTAGACATGCTCTTCTTATGAATGTTTTTGACCACTAGCATAATGGCCTCTGAGATTTTTTTTTACAAATGCTTCTGAAGTTTTTCTTTTCTTTTCTTTCATTCATTTTTTGAGACAAGGTCTCCCTATTATGTAGTTTTGACTATCCTGGAACTTACAGACCAGGCTGGCTTCAAACTCACAGAGATCTGTCTGCCTCTGCCTCCCAAGTGCTAGAATTAAAGGTGTGTGACCATACCTGGCCACTGATGTTTTTCTTACCCCTACTAATAGATTCTTTTATATTAGAAGACAGAAGTGGCCGCTTCTCATCCTTCATTTCCCCTGTACAACTTGGCATAGATCTTGTAACAATTAGAACCAACTAAAAGGAAACTATTTGCTTACTTGTAAGCTGGCTACCTATGTACCATGAGTTAATACTTGCTTCTTCTACAGTGGGCCTTTCTTTGTCTATCATCAACAGGGACAAGAATATAAACTTTGATGCATTGCACACACATATGTATATGTATATACACATGCTTATTTCAATTAGTCCTTTAAAAAAATTCATGATAGTAGTTACACCTGTCTTCATTTTTTTTCTTGTTACTGTAATAATATATCCTGAGCAAAGCACCTTAAGGGAGAAAGGATTTATTTGGTTCACAATTCTAGCATATAGTCCATCATTTAACAGAAGACACGGTGACTGGATCTTTAAACAACTGGGCAGATCATATCAACAGTCAAGGGTACAGAACAATCACTGACGAATATATGCTACTGCTCAGTATACCTTTTCCACTTTTTGTATAAACCAGGATATCCTGCTCAAAGAATCGTATCACTCACGGTAGGTCAGTATTCCCACCAATCAAAATTGTTCCTGACAGTCATGACCAAAGGCCAACCAAATCAAGATAATCCCTCATTGAGACTCTTTTCCCAGATGATTCTAGATTGTCCTAAATTGAAAATTAAAACTAGACTCAAATTTTATAGACAAGCAAAACTGAAGTTCAGATGGGGGAATGATTTACCTGAGTTTACCCATCCAAGAAGTTACAGTTCAGTTCAGTTCTGGATTGGAACTCCTCTTGTTATG